CCCATGATCAGCTCTAGCTCCGACTCCCGTTAGATCCTTCTCTCTTGTGGCCAACTCACTCCTCACAATCTGACAAGACATGCAAGCGCCTTGACCATACCTTGCCACTCGTTCCTCATTACAGCCCATTTACCAAACACCCAACATTGAATCCTGCTTTGTTACCATCAATGGGATTTTATATTATTTGTTATTATAACCGTCTTTATTCCAGACACCTCTAATGTCGCACCAAATACAATGGAGGACGTTTCGGTTCATGGAGTGGAAAGTTCGGTTTATGGAGCTAAGTTTCGGTTTATGGAGCAAGTTCTGGTTTATTGGAGATGTTAGGTTTGATGGAGATGTATCCATCTTATATGGAGACGTTCGGTATTATGGAGATGTCAATATAATGGAGACGTTCCGGTTATATGGAGACGTTCCATTTTAATGAGGACGTTTCTGGATATATGGAGGATGTACTTCTTATGGGAGTGATTCAGTTAATGGAGCTGTTCTTTTCAGGGACGTTTTATGGAGACGTTCGGTTTTTATGAGAGACGTACCGGTATTTATTGGAGACTGAATTCGGTTTATCTGGCAGCGATGTTCTTGTTATCTGAGCGCTTTCGTTAATGGAGATGGTCGTTAATGGCGAGAAAAAATGTACCATTATATGAGAGAGTTGTCGGTTTTATGGACACCTTGTTCATTTTATTGGAGACGTTCTGTATATGGAGGACGTTCGGAATATGGAGACGTTCGGTTTATGGAGATGTTCGGTTTATGGAGATGTCCCTTTTTAATGTTTTCGGTGGAGATGTTCCTTTTATGGAGACGTTCGGTTTATGGAGACCGATCATTTTATGGAGATGTTCGGTTTTATGGAGAGACGTTCGGTTATGGAGAACGTTCGGTTTTATGGAGAGTTATTATATGGCGATTTCGGTTTATGGAAGATGTTCCTTTTATGGAGCATCTTTCTCCGGTTTTATGGTAGATGTTCGGATTTATGGAGATGTTCGGTTTTATAAGGAGAATGTATCGCTTATATGGTAGCTTCGGTTATCGGACAAGTTCATATATGGGACGTTCGGTTTATGAGATGGATATTATTATGGAGATGTTCGGTTTTATATGGAGAATTCATGTGTTCCAATCCTCTCCATATCATGTGATTCAGGTGTTCCAATCTCCTCCATATCATGTGATTCATGTGTTCCAATCCCCTCCATATCATGTGATTCAGGTGCTCCAATCCCCTCCATGGTCCCAGGTGTATACAATCATCCCCTAGGCATGCAGACTGCAACTGCAACAGTCGCCAACTGTCTGCAGAGTCAATAGCTAAAGACCTCCAAACTTGGTGTGGCCTTCAGATGAGCCCAACAACAGTGCGTAGAGAGCTTCATGGAATGGGTTTCCATGGCCGAGCAGCTGCATCCAAGCCTTCCATCACCAAGTGCAATGCAAAGCGTCAGATGCTGTGGTGTAAAGCACGCCGCCACTGGACTCTAGAACAGAAGATTGTGTTCTCTGACCAATCACGCTTCTCTGTCTGGCAATCCGATGGACGTGTCTGGGTTTGGTGGCTGCCAGGAGAACGGTACTTGCCTGACTGCATTGTGCCAAGTGTAAAGTTTGGTGGAGGAGGGATTAAGGTGTGGGGTTGTTTTTCAGGGGTTGGGCTTGGCCCCCTAGTTCCAGTGAAGGGAACTCTTATGGCGACATTTTGGACAATTTCATGCCCCCAGCTTTTTGGGAAGAGTTTGGGGACGGCTCCTTCCTGTTCCAACATGACTGCCCACCAGTGCACAAAGCAAGGTCCATAAAGACATGGAGGAGCCAGTTTGGGGTGGAGGAACTTGACTGTCCTGCACAGAGTCCTGACCTCAACCCCATAGAACACCTTTGGGATGAATTAGAGCGGAGACTGCGAGCCAGGCCCCCTCCCCCGACATCAGGCCCCCTCCCCCGACATCAGTGCCTGACCTGACAAATGTGCTTCTGGAAGAATGGTCCAACCTTCCCATAGACACCCTCCTAAACCTTGTGGACGGCCTTCCCAGAAGAGTTGAAGCTGTTATAGGTGCAAAGGGCGGGGCCAACTCAATATTGAACCCTACGGACTAAGACTGGGGGGCCATTAAAGGTCATGTGCGTGGAAAGGGCGGGGCCAACTCAATATTGAACCCTACGGACTAAGACTGGGAGGCCATTGAAGGTCATGTGTGTGGAAAGGGCAGGGCCAACTCAATATTGAACCCTACGGACTAAGACTGGGGGGCCATTAAAGGTCATGTGCGTGGAAAGGGCGGGGCCAACTCAATATTGAACCCTACGGACTAAGACTGGGAGGTCATTAAAGGTCATGTGTGTGGAAAGGGCGGGGCCAACTCAATATTGAACCCTACGCACTAAGACTGGGAGGCCATTGAAGGTCATGTGAGTGGAAAGGGCGGGGCCAACTCAATATTGAACCCTACGCACTAAGACTGGGAGGCCATTGAAGGTCATGTGTGGGGGAAAGGGCGGGGCCAACTCAATATTGAACCCTACGCACTAAGACTGGGAGGCCATTGAAGGTCATGTGTGGGGGAAAGGGCGGGGCCAACTCAATATTGAACCCTACGGACTAAGACTGGGAGGCCATTGAAGGTCATGCGCGTGGAAAGGGCGGAGGCCCAATACTTGGGGCAATATGGTGTATATTGAATAGCAGTGGTCATCAGCTCTACAGGTCTAAGTCCAAAAGGCTCCAAATATATTTCCGGGTCTCATGTAGATGTTCTCCTGTCCCGCGTTCGCTGCCTTAATCCAAAACTACTTTCATGAAAGCCGGTGTGATGAAGAAAAGCACCTACCTCATACCAACATGGCACCCAAGCAGCATGCCTTTTGGTGGCCCCATAGAGTTGATGACCGCAACTATTCAATAGATGACCATTTGTATTCACATATTCTACATACACGATATCAGCAGTTGGCTTTCCACCGAAATGAGATTCAGGAGTCATGATTTGTTCTTCCAAGTTGAAGGCCAAGCAAGTCGTTCCCCCCCCAGCATCAGCTTAACGTGCTCTCCACCTACAAATCTAGAGAACACGGTGAATGCCCGTTGCCGGATTTCTTCTGTCCTTCTACAAATCTATAGAACACAGTGAATGCCCGTTGCTGGATTTCTTCTGTCCTCCTACAAATCTATAGAACACGGTGAATGCCCATTGCCGGATTCCTCCTGTCCTACAAATCTAGAGAACATGGTGAATGCTCATTGCTGAATTTCTCCTCTCTCCGTCTACAAATCTAGAGAACATGGTGAATGCCCATTGCCGGATTTCTCTCAGTTTCCCTCTCCCCTTACAAATCTATAGAACACGGTGAATGCCCATTGCTGGATTTCTCTCAGTTTCCCTCTCCCCTTACAAATCTATAGAACACGGTGAATGCCCATTGCAGGATTTCTCTCAGTTTCCCTCTCCCCTTACAAATCTAGAGAACATGGTGAATGCCCATTGCCAAATTTCTCCTCTCCACCTACAAATCTAGAGAACATGGTGAATGTCCGTTACCGGACTTCTCTCGGTTTTGGTCTTCACCTACAAATCTAGAGAACATGGTGAATGCCCGTTGCCGAATTTCTCCTCTCCGCCTACAAATCTAGAGAACATGGTGAATGTCCGTTGCCGGATTTCTCCCAGTTTTCCTCTCCACATACAAATCTAAAGAACATGGTGAGAGCCCGTTGCCGGATTTCTCCTCTCCACCTACAAATCTAGAGAACATGGTGAATGTCCGTTACCGGACTTCTCTCGGTTTTGGTCTTTACCTACAAATCTAGAGAACATGGTGAATGCTCGTTGTCGGATTTACCTCAGTTTTGGTCTCCACCTACAAATCTAGAGAACATGGTGAATGCTTGTTGTTGGATTTCCCTCAGTTTTGGTCTCCACCTACAAATCTAGAGAACATGGTGAATGCCCATTGCCGAATTTCTCCTCTCTGCCTGCAAATCTAGAGAACATGGTGAATGTCTGTTGCCGGACTTCTCTCAGTTTTGGTCTTCGCCTACAAATCTAGAGAACATGGTGAATGCCCATTGCCGGATTTCCCTCAGTTTTGGTCTCCACCTACAAATCTAGAGAACATGGTGAATGCCCGTTGCCGGATTTCTCCTCTCCACGTACAAATCTAGAGAACATGGTGAATGCCGTTGCCGGATTTCTCCCAGTTTTCCTCTCCACATACAAATCTAAAGAACATGGTGAGAGCCCGTTGCCGGATTTCTCCTCTCCACCTACAAATCTAGAGAACATGGTGAATGTCCGTTGCCGGATTTCTCCCAGTTTTCCTCTCCACATACAAATCTAAAGAACATGGTGAGAGCCCGTTGCCGGATTTCTCCTCTCCACCTACAAATCTAGAGAACATGGTGAATGTCCGTTACCGGACTTCTCTCGGTTTTGGTCTTTACCTACAAATCTAGAGAACATGGTGAATGCTCGTTGTCGGATTTACCTCAGTTTTGGTCTCCACCTACAAATCTAGAGAACATGGTGAATGCTTGTTGTTGGATTTCCCTCAGTTTTGGTCTCCACCTACAAATCTAGAGAACATGGTGAATGCCCATTGCCGAATTTCTCCTCTCTGCCTGCAAATCTAGAGAACATGGTGAATGTCTGTTGCCGGACTTCTCTCAGTTTTGGTCTTCGCCTACAAATCTAGAGAACATGGTGAATGCCCATTGCCGGATTTCCCTCAGTTTTGGTCTCCACCTACAAATCTAGAGAACATGGTGAATGCCCGTTGCCGGATTTCTCCTCTCCACGTACAAATCTAGAGAACATGGTGAATGCCCGTTGCCGGATTTCTCTTCTCCACCTACAAATCTAGAGAACATGGTGAATGCCATTGTCCGGATTTCTCTCAGTTTTGGTCTCCATCGTACAAATCTAGAGAACATGGTGAATGCCCGTTGCCGGAATGAGAACATGGTGAATGCCATTGTCGGATTTCCCTCAGTTTTGGTCTCCGCCTACAAATCTAGAGAACATGGTGAATGCCCGTTGCCGGATTTCTCTCAGTTTTATGCCATAGATGATCAGGTTCATCATCGGAGGGACCAGGACATACAGGTTGGCCACCAGGATGTGGACCTGCAGAGGTATGTACTTGTGGCCGACTCTGTGAGCAATAAAGGAGAAGAACGCCGGCGTGTAGAAGAGAACAATGACGCAGACGTGTGACACGCATGTGTTGAAGGCTTTGGATCGATCCTCAGAGGATGGTAACCTCACAACAGCTGAGATTATGAATCCATAGGAAACGGAAATGAGAGCGATGTCAAGACCAGTGGCACAAGCGGCGATGACCAGCCCGTACACCGCATTGACCATGATGTCCCCCGTGGCCAACCTGGCCACCGACATGTGCTCACAGTAGGTGTGCTCTATCAGGTTGCTTTGTTGGAATGGTAGCCTATCGAGGAGGAATACAAATGGCGTCACCATCAAAACGCTTCTGGAAAGAGCAAAAGCAGCTGCCTTCCTAAGAAAGGAACCCGTGAGGGTCGTGGAGTAGCTCAAAGGGTGGCACACGGCACAGTACCGATCGTATGCCATGGACAGCAAGATGGCCGACTCTGCCCCAAAAGCGGAATGAATGAAAAACACTTGGGTGAGGCATCCGTTGAAAGAGATCTCTTGAGAGTTGAACCAGAACAAAGGCGAGGGTCTTCGGGACGGTGGTGGAGCTCAAGAGGAGGTCACTGAGGGCCAACATAACCAGGAAGATGTACATGGGCTGGTGGAGGCTCTCATTGGCTGAGACGACCAACATCAAGGTGGAGTTTCCCAGAAGAGACATGATGTACATGATGGAGAAGGGGATGGAGACCAGGAGATGTGAGGCCTCCAAACCAGGGATTCCCATCAGGAGGAAACAATCAGGATGGAGATTGGTGGAATTCCACATTGACCGGGAAATCAGAATGCCGGAGCTCAGAAGACGTAAATACCATTCGTTACACAATGGAGAAGGGGATGGAGACCAGGAGATGTGAGGCCTCCAGACCAGGGATTCCCATCAGGAGGAAACAATCAGGATGGAGATTGGTGGAATTCCACATTGACCGGGAAATCAGAATGCCGGAGCTCAGAAGACGTAAATACCATTCGTTACACGATGGAGAAGGGGATGGAGACCAGGAGATGTGAGGCCTCCAGACCAGGGATTCCCATCAGGAGGAAACAATCAGGATGGAGATTGGTGGAATTCCACATTGACCGGGAAATCAGAATTCTGGAGGTCAGAAGACGTAAATACCATTTGTTACACGATGGAGAAGGGGATGGAGACCAGGAGATGTGAGGCCTGCAGACCAGGGATTCCAACGAGGAGGAAACAATCAGGATAGAGATTGGTGGAATTCCACATTGACCGGGAAATCCGAATGCCGGAGTTCAGAAGACGTAAATACCATTCGTTACACAATGGAGAAGGGGATGGAGACCAGGAGATGTGAGGCCTCCAGACCAGGGATTCCCATCAGGAGGAAACAATCAGGATGGAGATTAATGGAATTCCACATTGACCGGGAAATCCGAATGCCGGAGTTCAGAAGACGTAAATACCATTCGTTACACGATGGAGAAGGGGATGGAGACCAGGAGATGTGAGGCCTCCAGACCAGGGATTCCCATCAGGAGGAAACAATCAGGATAGAGATTGGTGGAATTCCACATTGACCGGGAAATCCAAATGCCGGAGTTCAGAAGATGTAAATACCAGTCGTTACACAATGGAGAAGGGGATGGAGACCAGGAGATGTGAGGCCTCCAGACCAGGGATTCCCATCAGGAGGAAACAATCAGGATGGAGATTGGTGGAATTCCACATTGACCGGGAAATCCAAATGCCGGAGCTCAGAAGACGTAAATACCATTCGTTACACGATGGAGAAGGGGATGGAGACCAGGAGATGTGAGGCCTCCAGACCAGGGATTCCCATCAGGAGGAAACAATCAGGATGGAGATTGGTGGAATTCCACATTGACCGGGAAATCCGAATGCCGGAGGTCAGAAGACATAAATACCATTCGTTACACGATGGAGAAGGGGATGGAGACCAGGAGATGTGAGGCCTCCAGACCAGGGATTCCCATCAGGAGGAAACAATCAGGATAGAGATTGGTGGAATTCCACATTGACCGGGAAATCCGAATGCCGGAGTTCAGAAGATGTAAATACCAGTCGTTACACAATGGAGAAGGGGATGGAGACCAGGAGATGTGAGGCCTCCAGACCAGGGATTCCCATCAGGAGGAAACAATCAGGATGGAGATTGGTGGAATTCCACATTGACCGGGAAATCCAAATGCCGGAGGTCAGAAGACGTAAATACCATTCGTTACACGATGGAGAAGGGGATGGAGACCAGGAGATGTGAGGCCTCCAGACCAGGGATTCCCATCAGGAGGAAACAATCAGGATAGAGATTGGTGGAATTCCACATTGACCGGGAAATCCGAATGCCGGAGTTCAGAAGACGTAAATACCATTCGTTACACAATGGAGAAGGGGATGGAGACCAGGAGATGTGAGGCCTCCAGACCAGGGATTCCCATCAGGAGGAAATAATCAGGATGGAGATTGGTGGAATTCCACATTGACTGGGAAATCCGAATGCCGGAGTTCAGAAGATGTAAATACCATTCGTTACACATGGAGAAGGGGATGGAGACCAGGAGATGTGAGGCCTGCAGACCAGGGATTCCAACGAGGAGGAAACAATCAGGATAGAGATTGGTGGAATTCCACATTGACCGGGAAATCCGAATGCCGGAGTTCAGAAGATGTAAATACCAGTCGTTACACAATGGAGAAGGGGATGGAGACCAGGAGATGTGAGGCCTCCAGACCAGGGATTCCCATCAGGAGGAAACAATCAGGATGGAGATTGGTGGAATTCCACATTGACCGGGAAATCCGAATGCCGGAGTTCAGAAGATGTAAATACCAGTCGTTACACAATGGAGAAGGGGATGGAGACCAGGAGATGTGAGGCCTCCAGACCAGGGATTCCCATCAGGAGGAAACAATCAGGATGGAGATTGGTGGAATTCCACATTGACCGGGAAATCAGAATGCCGGAGTTCAGAAGACATGTAAATACCATTCGTTACACGATGGAGAAGGGGATGGAGACCAGGAGATGTGAGGCCTCCAGACCAGGGATTCCCATCAGGAGGAAACAATCAGGATGGAGATTGGTGGAATTCCACATTGACCGGAGTTCAGAAGACGTAAATACCAGTCATTACATGATGGTTACTGTGGAAGATGGTGGACGTTTCCGGCAATCCGGCAATTGTGAGATCTTCTGTGTGTTGTGTCCCGAGCTCCGGGTATACCGACGTCACAGAGCTGTGAAAAGTACAAAACATTCAAGAAAATTATTCTTCTGATTTATTTTTTATTATTATTATTTTATGCACGTAAAACATGGAGAATAAAATGGCGCTTCCAATTATCGCCATAGTTACCGATACGGTGCCGGTGTGAGAAGATATAAATCCAGAGATAGACCCCCCCCAACCCCCCCCCCCCCCCCAGTTCAATAGAATGAATCCACAGATCTCCCTGTAGGAAGATACATCATTCAGGTGCCATTCACATCTCGGCTGAACGCTCAGGTGTGAATGGGGCCGATGTAGCAGGAGCTGCCAGCAGTCGGCTGAACGCTCGGGTGTGAATGGGGCCAATGTAGCAGGATCTGCCGGCAGTCGGGTGAACGCTCGGGTGTGAATGGGGCCAATGTAGCGGGAGCTGCCGGCAGTCGGCTGAACGCTCGGGTGTGAATGGGGCCGATGTAGCAGGAGCTGCCAGCAGTCGGCTGAACGCTCGGGTGTGAATGGGGCCGATGTAGCAGGAGCTGCCAGCAGTCGGCTGAATGCTCGGGTGTGAATGGAGCCAATGTAGCAGGAGCTGCCAGCAGTCGACTGAATGCTCGGGCGTGAATGGGGCCGATGTAGCAGGAGCTGCCAGAAGTCGGCTGAACGCTCGGGCGTGAATGGGGCCGATGTAGCAGGAGCTGCCAGCAGTCAGTTGAACGCTCGGGTGTGAATGGGGCCGATGTAACAGGAGCTGCCGGCAGTCGGCTGAACACTCGGGCGTGAATGGGGCCAATGTAGCAGGAGCTGCCAGCAGTCGAATGAACGCTCGGGTGTGAATGGGGCCAATGTAGCAGGAGCTGCCAGCAGTCGAATGAACGCTCAGGTGTAATTGGGGCCGATGTAACAGGAGCTGCCGGCAGTCGGCTGAACGCTCGGGTGTGAATGGGGCCGATGAAACAGGAGCTGCCGGCAGTCGGCTGAATACTCAGGTGTGAATGGGGCCAATGTAGCAGGAGCTGCCGGCAGTCGGCTGAACGTTCGGGTGTGAATGGGGCCAATGTAGCTGGAACTGCCAGCAGTCGGATGAACGCTCGGGTGTGAATGGGGCCGATGTAGCAGGAGCTGCCAGCAGTCTGCTGAACGCTCGGGTGTGAATGGGGCCGATGTAGCAGGAGCTGCCAGAAGTCGACTGAACGCTCGGGTGTGAATGGAGCCAATGTAGCAGGAGCTGCCAGAAGTCAGCTGAACGCTCGGGCGTGAATGGGGCCAATGTAGCAGGATCTGCCGGCAGTCGGATGAACACTCGGGTGTGTGAATGGGGCCGATGTAGCGGGAGCTGCCGGCAGTCGGATGAACGCTCGGGTGTGAATGGGGCCGATGTAGCGGGAGCTGCCGGCAGTCGGCTGAACGCTCGGGTGTGAATGGGACCAATGTAGCGGGAGCTGCCAGCAGTCGGCTGAACGCTCGAGTGTGTATGGAGCCAATGTAGCGGGAGCTGCCGGCAGTCGGCTGAATGCTCGGGCGTGAATGGAGCCAATGTAGCAGGAGCTGCCGGCAGTCGACTGAATGCTCGGGCGTGAATGGGGCCAATGTAGCAGGAGCTGCCAGAAGTCGGCTGAACGCTCGGGTGTGAATGGGGCCGATGTAACAGGAGCTGCCGGCAGTCGGCTGAACGCTCGGGTGTGAATAGGGCCAATGTAGCAGGAGCTGCCAGAAGTCGGCTGAACGCTCGGGTGTGAATGGGGCCGATGTAGCAGGAGCTGCGAGCAGTCGGCTGAACGCTCGGGTGTGAATGGGGCCGATGTAACAGGAGCTGCCAGCAGTCGGCTGAACGCTCGGGTGTGAATGGGGCCGATGTAGCAGGAGCTGCCAGCAGTCGGCTGAACGCTCGGGTGTGAATGGAGCCAATGTAGCAGGAGCTGCCAGAAGTCGGCTGAACGCTCGGGCGTGAATGGGGGCCAATGTAGCAGGATCTGCCGGCAGTCGGATGAACACTCGGGTGTGAATGGGTCCAATGTAGCGGGAGCTGCCGGCAGTCGGCTGAACGCTCGGGTGTGAATGGGGCCAATGTAGCAGGAACTGCCGGCAGTCGGCTGAACGCTCGGGTGTGTATGGAGCCAATGTAGCGAGAGCTGCCGGCAGTCGGGTGAACTCTCGGGTGTGAATGGGGCCAATGTAGCGGGAGCTGCCGGCAGTCGGCTGAACGCTCGGGTGTGAATGGGACCAAT